ATCTGTAGAAAAATTTCACCATAGTGCATTTGTAAACTAATACATTTTGATGTGTCCATCACATAACCAGTTCCATATGTATAGCTTTTTTAACGTAGTAAAATTGCTTGGTAGCTCACCTGGTACAACTTTGTATATGTGGTGCGCAGTGCTCAGTACCGTGTCCCGTGAAACACAAGTCATGATAGGCCCTGTCCCAAATCGCACCCTAAACCCTCGCAGTCTTCCTCTGAGTCCGCACTTTCGTGATGTAATGCCGTTTTGACTGTATGGGTAGAAGTCTGCTGCGGAGCTTGCCTCAGTGAGGGCTCGGCAGAAGTGCGCATCGAGGGCGCAAAGGGGGCGCTCGCGAGCACCCTTTTGAACGCTAAAATGACGAATGGGACACCCTACGGTCTCGTGGACTTAACGGACACGCGCACGCGGTGGCCATTGTAAGTCCGCAAGACCGAAAGTGCACATGAAGTGTTCGATTTGGGACAGGGCCATAAAAAAACTCAAAGAATTGAAGCAAGCTAAAATAGCACGGTTGCTTCAGCAATGTATTTGTATCTCACTTTTGCTTTTGTTAACATTATGTTTTGTTTACAGTAGGGTTTAGTATATGTGGTAAGATTACCTATTAGAAACTGCCATGATGCATACAAACACCAATATAATAAAAATTTGCCAGATTCACATTCATCTGTTTAAAACTAAGTGCCATTGGACATTTCACTTTGAAAGTGTCGTGCAACGTACAAGTAGTACAGCAATACCATTTAGCAGAAATGTCACCATAGGCAAGTTTTTCCAATGAGCCTAGGTTGGATAATTTCCAAATCTTTCAAGAAAGACTTACCGTCAGCTTCGGGTTGTTTAGCAGTGAAATATGCCTTATGGGAAATCATCTTTCCTGATAGAATGGGGATTTTCAGCATTAGAGCTCAAAAGTAACTACAGCAGTAGTTCCCTCATAAGATATTGAATACATGTCTTATACCTTTTTTTCCGCTTTTCAAATACTTTTTTGCTATGTTATAATTCTGTGATTCATCTCCGAGCTGTTTGTGTGGCTTATATTGTAACTCTTTAGTGAAAAATGGTCTGAAATGCCTAAATGTGAAAAATACTGCCAGAACTAAGACACTCTTGCACTCTATTCAAACAACAAAAAAAGCAGTGTTCGATACCGACGAGGCCATGGAGATATACAGTGCTCTGCTCATATTTATTCAAACTACTGTATAAACATTAGAATTTGTAAATGCTGGTAGTTGCTCACAGTTCATACATCAAGATACTGCAGAGAAAGAAAGAGAGAGAGAAAGAAAGTTTACTCATTAGCGCTCTCTCATTTCAAATGCTTGTGCAGACTCCGGTGAGAGGCAAGGCCACCTGCTGTCTAATTGCTTACTGAATGACTGACTTTCTGGACCACTGCGTCTGAGGAAGTTAAACATCTGAGGCACTTTCTCCTTTTTCACTATTCGTTTTTTGCCCAATGGAATAAAATTCAAACAGCAAATCAGGTTGTTGTACCTGCTATGATTGGCATAAGCAGTGTGATTGAACTGAAAAATCTTTTACTAGGCTGGTGGGAAAAAAAAAAAAAATCTGATCCAAGACTGCGGATCTCCCACGTGGCGGCTTTGGCATGTGGCTTGGGAACAGAGTGGGCTGCCAATAAATAGAATACCGTTAATCAAATAACACTTACATTACATGTGATTAAAAGCTGCTCTTTTTTCATCAATGTCACCAGTGCTTACTTTATCTTTTCGAAATGGATTTGCACTTTTCCTGTGAGCCGATTACAGTATCTGAGGCTTAGAATAGCAATCCATGCAATCATTCCTCTGAAATTGCTCTTGATTGACGAGCAGACACAGTTACCTCAGAGTCATCGGGCATAAGCTTGAACGCCAATGAATAACTCATGGTGAGCTCCTTCCTAGCAGATACCAATCAGCATTTACGCATAACCAAAAGCAACTCATGCAGAATTTGTTTAAATTTAAATATGGCCCCTATCCTGTGATGATTCATCAAGCGATTCTCCTCCTCCTTGTACCTTTAACTAAATGCCAAGGAGACAAATGTGCGAATCTTATAATGCGACTTGACTCACCCTCCCACGGCTATGATTCACATCCACGTAATGTCTCTTAACTAATCGCAAACTTAAACCCGTTGTTTAGCATGGCGGCTTAACTTCATCTGGATGTCTCTCATATTCTTAAGTGTGTAACTGGCTGTTTACATGTGATCCCTCGTATATCTGCTGTATCTTCTGGGAGTTTCTGCAATGATATCAGCATCTCTCTCTCCTACAGAAACAACTGTGTGTTAGTTTTGTCAGAAAAGGCCTTTGAGCTCTAACTCTCCCGGGACTGATGTTTGTGTGCTGAAGGATGAGATCACCAACAATCTGTGTAATGTACTGAAGATGAACTTTGAGCTGTCAGACTGGAATGTCTCAATATCTGGATTTATAATTTCACATGGGTGGGAGAGTATAAGAAAAGACTAGTTTTTAGTCTCAAGGGCTTTTTCTTCCTCTCAGTGGTTCCTACAGAATCCCACCCACCCCAATTCAAACAAATAACTGATCTAAAAGTTACAATGTGAATTTGGTAGCATACTGCAATGTTTTAAAGATTGAATTATTGGGCTAACTTTGATTATTTTTAATACAATTCAAATATTTATTACAAAAAAAAAACTGCATATGAACATCACGTTTCAGTAAAATGAGTCAGATTCAGTGAGCTCATTCAGTAAAGGATTCATCAAATTGATTCTAGCTCTGTTCCAAAACCACTTGAGTTGTTTCGCTGTATATTGCCTACATAGACAGTTGACTTCTAAGAAAGCATGCTAACTGAAACGAAACCTTTGAAGTGACTGATTTAGAACACTCCATGCTCCAAAATCACCTTAATTTCAACAGAGCTTTACTAACAACACAATACACAAAACTAAGCAGCACACACAAATACTGGTTTAACCCTTAAATGCATACCTCGGGTCTTTAGCGACCCGGGACATCATTCTCTACCCTCTCCCTCCTTCATTTTTTAAAGTTAGAAATCAACTTTCTTAGTATTCCTCAATCTATTAGCTATAAACAATATAACAAGAAAAAAACAGTAAAATATAAAAGAATGCCAGTTTTCTGATTAATTTTTTGCAAAAAGTGTACAGGGTTGCTAGATACCCGAGGTATGTAAATATGTAAGTATTTTTTCCTGCACAACTATATTTACATATCTGATGACTCAATATGTGCAATGCATATTTTCCCCTCAAGGTGGCACTGTTTGATACACAATGATGACGTGACGTTTCACTCATAATTAACGCAGGCATAAAACAAACCAATATTATCAGCAAAAATTGAAGTGGTTTGAATGGCTTTACAGCAGAGCAATTACTATACGCAATTAAATATAAATGTCACTGTCATTTGATGCTGGATGTGGTGAATAAGCTGCCAGTGATCAAAATATTGAATATGAAGTCATTGAAAACGATAGTTTTGAGAATATGGCTGAGATCGTGAATATGAGGCAGATGCTGAATGTACTGTGGAAGTGCGCTGAGGATGACAGCGATGGTAAAATCATCTGCTCAAATTGAACCCTTTTAAGTTTCAAAAGGTAACAAAATAAGCTTTTATTCTTCTGTAATTGTTCTTAAAATATCAAGAGAGTTTTTTACTATTGCAGCAGTTAGAGATCCATCCGTGCTGTATATATAGGTCCGGGTCACTAAAGACCCGAATATGTAATAATGATTGGCGAAACATTCATGCATTTAAGGGTTAAAGGGGTCATACGATGCTTTTTTAAAGATCATTATTTCGTGTATTTGGTGTAACAGAATATGTTGACATGCTTTAGTGTTTGCCTTTGACCAAAACATTGAGTCTTAGTAGGCAGCATAAATAAGATGCCTACCTTTAAAGGCACCTTAAAAGGCAGGTCGCTAGACTTTGCAACAAAGTCTGTACATTTTTTGTGAAATTCATTAAACAAACCAAATTTGTTTATGAAACGGACTACACTAGTTATGCTGTATGTTTCTGAGTGCAGCCAACAAAGATTATATAATATGAGAAAGTATTGTCTTAGCATTATTTCACAATACACAGTCTTTTTCATCACATTCAAATTAGATGGCAAGTGAAAAATTTAGAGAATAATATCATTTCCTTTGCTGTAGCGCCATAGAATAGTTCAGGAAACTTTGCTTTCTGCTAAGGTGTCTTTCTCTCTGTCTCTCAGGCCTCAGGCTTTCCATCACATATAGCTAAGGCTTAACTTTATATTGCACTCTAATTTCATCTCTCTCTCTTTTCTCAATCAGGTAGTTCTCTATGTTATTATCATTTCATAATACCCTGCCTATTTCTGAAATTTCTAGTTCCTTATTTGTGCAGTCATGTTAAGAAATCTTCTATTCTCATCTCTTCTTTATAGTTCCCATCTCAACTTCACACTTTAATTAAAGGGCTTTTATTAATAGGATTTTAATGCTTAATGCTGTTTCTTTTTAGTAATACGAGTATGGCCAATAGTGACGCACTCCAAAAAGTCATTTAATAATGAACAAATTTTATTCAATAAGCTTTTACTCTGATTGGTTTGAAGCAGCAGAGGGCGGAGTCAAACGCTGAATCATACAGTTCAGCCATTTAAAGACCACATGAAATCAACTGATCACAGTTTTCTTTTCTAAGCACATTTCTTATCGGACATTTGGGCAGAACATTTCTTTTTTATTAAAGGAAGATGGGCTTTTTCACTCAAGAGCATTTGATTGGACAAAAATCTGTGTATTGCAAGATGACTATTTTAATATGAGGATTTTTTGAATATTTTTGGTACGTTTTCACAGAAGAGAAATACTGTAAATCTACTGTACTGTAAAGTGTTATAATTGTTAAACAAACTATTAAAAACCATTTTGTTAACTGAAAGCTGAAATAAAATAAAATATAAATGTTAGATGAAAATGTAAGCTTAAAAAATGTAAAAAATGTTGCCTTTGCAACTAACTGAAATTTTAAAAAAGTTTAAAATGAAGTACTAATATTACTAAAACAAAACTGAAAAGTAAAAAAATATATATAGCTAACAAAAATATTAAAACATACTAAAATCAAAATTAAATCTGAAAAAAAAAAAAAAAAAAAAAAGTTTATTATTATATATCTGCTTCCAATTTTGAAATGTGTATATCTGCTAAAAGGGATTTTTTTTTGTAAATGAACTAAAAGCAACAACATTCAAATTTTAATTTTAATTTCATGGGGCTGTATGGCAAGTCATTCAGAACTTTGGTGTTGGAATGTAATTTTTTTTTCTTCACTCACTCACCCCTTCACAAGCTCGATCACGATAAAGTCACTGCCGTCTCCAGAGTTAAACAGCATCAGACCGTCAGGACTGGTGGTCTTGAACTGGAAGAAGAGGTGCATGGAGGCGTAAGCCTGCAGGGTGGACAGCGCCACATAGCTGGCTCGATTCCGGAAGCTGACGGGATCTGCCACGATGCGGCGCATGCCGAAGCGGGCATTGAGCTCACAGTAGGAGATGTCACCATTCTTGCACTGGTCTAGGTACGGCATGCTGTTGAAAGAGAGGCCCTGCAGGTGGCCGATGAAGTTGGAAGGCATGACTGCGATGAAGCGCCGCTCGGTCATGATGCCCGTCTCTATGTGATGGAACTCCAACTGCGTGTGTGCTCCGCTCATCTGGCCTGTGGCGGAACCAAACACGCTCGATTAGTCAGGTCTGGGAACTGATGATATGAGGGAATGGCATGCTGCCTGAGCCCATCCCAAGGCAAGTACAGCTTTTGATGTTCAATTCAGAGTTGGATGTACGGTAATGCTGAACTTGCAGTGTGCAAGATGAATCTAAACCTGTACAACTGTACTACATATAATCTTTCAGTTGTCGACACAACGATAAATGAATAACTAGGCATGATGTGGCAAGTTTTAAGTGTCAAGCAAGTCTATGTACACTGAACGTGAAAATCCATATGATAACATTCTGTGAGAATTGTAATAAAATTTAAGTCGTTATTCACTGAAAATCTTGGGTCATTATAGAAATAGCAATTTCTGAGCAAATTATTCTTTTGAGTCAAATTTTGTCAATGGATTGGATGATTCATTTCACAAAAGCAGTCTGAAAAGATTCACTCACAAATCTATTTTAGACCAATTAGATTTCCTAGTTTCACAGTGGGCGGGGCCACCCTGCAATCGACAAAATGTCAACAAAATGTCTGAAATGCCTCTTCTTATTTGGTCACTTTAATGGATCACACTGGATTAGGATACAGTAAGCGTGTTTACATGCACTTTAAAAGTTTAATTTCAGTCTAACTGAAGCAAAAATATTTTTAGATATCATGTAACGTGCATTGCATTATTGGGCTTTTCACACTGCTCTCAACCCTGGGGTATGGTCATTCTAAACACCGCTTTTTACCCGGGGTTATGAACTATTGTGAACCCTATTGTGGGTTAACTAGTGTGAAAAGCCCTTACATGTACTACCTACCAAATGTTTGGGGTTGGTACAATTTTTTAATGTTTATGAAAGAAGTCTCTTATGCTCACCAAAGCTGGATTTATTTGATCAAAAATACAGTAAAATGGTAATATTGTGATTATTATTAAAAAAAATATATTTTAAATGTAATTTATTGATGTGATGGCAAAGCTTTCAACAGCCATTACTCCAGGCTTCAGTGTTACACAATCTTTCAGAAATCATTCTAATATGCTAATTTGATGCTTAAGAAACATTTCTTATTATTATCAATGTCTTTGATGAATTAAAAAGTTCCAAAGAACAGCTTTTATCAGAAATATTTATTTTTATAACAATATAAAGGTCTTTACTGTGACTTCTAATCAATTGAATGTACCCTTGCAGAATAAAAGTATTAATGTCTTTCAAAAAATATTTTTTTTCAGGATTCTTTGATGAATAGAAAGTTTAGAAGAACAGTTTGTATTTGATATATGAATCTTTTGTAACATTAGAAATGTCTTTACTCTCACTACTTGATTAACGTATGAAGAAAAGTGTTAATTTTCTTCAATAACAATCTTACTTTTTTCAAGATTCTTTGATGAACAGAAAGTTCAAAAGAATGGTTTTTATTTGAAAAAATAATACATATTTTGTAACATTAGAAACATCTTTACTGCCACTATTGATTAATAATAACTATTTATTTAAAAAAAAAAAAAAAATCTTACTGGACCCCAAACTTTTGCATGGTAGAGTATACTTGGACATACAGATTAAGACTGTATCACCTACGCAAGAGCACACTGAAGCTCGATTATAACTATAATAACTGTCCGTGTGTCCTTAAAAAAAAAAAAAAAAATCTTACTGACCCCAAACTTTTGCATGGTAGAGTATACTTGGACATACAGATTAAGACTGTATCACCTACGCAAGAGCACACTGAAGCTCGATTATAACTATAATAACTGTCCGTGTGTCCTTATACAGTACATATATAGTGAGTGTGAGGTCTTCCTCTCACCCTCCACGGTCACATTGTCAACAGAGAGCTGCAGGCTCTTCCCACGGCGCACCACCTTCACAGAGTGCCACTCATTGTCATTCAGCTTATGCCCTGCGAACAGAGTCTCCGGTCCTTTACCTGCAGAGAGAGAGGGCCAAAGTCACACACCGCTGCAAGCTTCCTGTCTTATCAATACAGCACAGTCTACCTCACAGGCCTGGTGCTCTCACCTCACACACACATACAAATACAGACACAAAGTCACGGTGAACTGACAGGATGTATCTACAAACTCAAACATTTCCAGAGTGAGTGCACACACACATACTGACACTCATGAGCATACCTACACATTCAAACGTGCTCATTTACATTTCACACAACCAGGCGCCCACACAAAACATAGATACCAACATATTCCTTAAGGAGAACCGTGACACACACATATGCTGTTCTGCTAACTCTTTCTGTGAGCCTCTATAGGGTATATATAATGTATTCTTTAAGACATATGGACCAGTATTGACATTCTACCATCGAAAAAAAAAGATTTTTTAACACATAGTAACAGCTCTATTATCATCATGAAGAGCTCTATTATGCTGAAATGGTTCTTTGTGTTAGAATTTAGGGTTCTTTATCCCTACCTTTGTTTTTCAAATCTTTAAATTTCAAAGCCACTCATTATTGGTTTTCTGCAGCTCAACCATCCAGCTACACAGACTGTCAACACACTCACAATAGGTGAATGATTTCATTCTTAAAATGTCTATAAGTTTTAACTTTTAAATGTAACTGGTAACTGTTTCCTACCAATCATGTATTTTCCTCTTTTTAGTTTTTTAACAGGACATGTAAGTGATCAACTCAGTTGAGGATACTTTTCTCCTCTTCTCCACTAAGTACGTAACAGGTATATTAAATATATGATCCATATTGTTATTCTATACACATACATACATGCATACATACATCTTTTCCTTCAGAAATCATTCTAATCTGCTGATTTGGTGCTCAAATAATAGTTACTCTTATGATCAATGATGAAAACAGTTGTGCTGCTTAGTGTTTTTTGAGGAAACTTTCTTTCAAGATTCTTTGAATTAAAAAACTTTTGAAACAAATGTCTTTACTTTCTCTTTACTGGTTTATTTAAAGGGGTCATATGATGTTGCTAAAAAGAACATTATTTTGTGTATTTGGTGTAATGCAATGCGTTTATGCGGTTTAAGGTTCAAAAAACACATTATTTTCCACATAATGTACATTATTGTTTCTCCTCTATGGAAAATTTGAAATCGCATCATATGACCCCTTTAATGCATCTTTGCTGAATAAAATAAAAACAAATCTCACTGTGTCCACACATTTGAACTGTAGTGTGTGTGTTGTGTATACAAACCCAATTCCAGAAAAGTTGGGACGTTTTGTAAAATGCAATAAAATCAAGAATCTGTTAATTCTCTTTAACTTTTATTTAATTGACGAAAGTACAAAGAAAAGATTTCCAAAGTTTTCACTGACCAACTTAAATGTATTTTGCAAATATAAACAAATTTAGATTTTGATGGCTGTAACACACTCCAAGAAAGTTGGGACAGAGGCAAAATAAAAGTGAAAAGATAGAATATCCAAATTAAACTATTTTGAAACAGTTCACAGTTAGCAGTTGAATTGGTAATAGGTAAGGGTATCAGGTTTGGGTATAAAAGGAGCATCTCAGTCTTTGCGAGCAAAGCTGGATCATGGCTCATCACTTTGTGGCAAAAATCACATTTATCAATGCAAACTCGCAAAGAATTTAAGTCTTTCCAACTACCATACATAATATTGTGAAAAGATTCAGGGAATCCAGAGAAATCTCAGTCTGTGTAGGGCAAAGCAGGAAACCTGGCCACATGGGCTCAGGAGTACTTTTGTAAACCGTTGGCACTTATCACAGTCTGCCACTGCATCAATAAATGCAACTTGAATCTCTATTACGCAAGGAGAAAGCTATACATCAAGTCTATGCAGTGATGCCGCAGGGTTCTCTGGGCCAGAGCTCATCTCAGATAGTTAAAAAGACAGCGGAAATGTGTGCTGTGGTCAGATGAGTCCACATTTAAACTTGTTTCTTGGAAAAGTGGACGATGAGTTCTCAGTCCCAAAGACCATAGGGACTATCCAGATTTTCATCAGAGAAAGATGCAAAAGCAAATTTCTCTCATGGTATGGGGTGCAGTGCTGCAGAGCAAATGGCATGGGTGACTGGCATCTGTGCGACGGTACAATTGGCAAGGAGGCATATATTGGGATTGTACAGAGACATATCCTGCCATCAAGATGACGCCTTTCATGGGAAGTCCATGGTTATTAGATCAAGAATGCCAGGTGTCATTCTGCATGTGCTACAACAGCGTGGTTTCACAGACACGTGGATATGACTGACTGCCCAGCAGATCGGTCTCCTATTGAAAATGTATGACCAGTCATGAAAAGGAGAATCAGACAATAATGACTACGGACTGATGAGCAGCTGAAGTCTTGTATCAAGCAAGACTGGACAAAAATTCTGCATGCAAAACTTTAACAATTAGTATCCTCGATTCTCAGACGATTAAACATTGTAATTAAAAGGACAGTTGATGTTACACAGTGTTAAACATGCCTCTGTCCCAACTTTTTTGGAGTGTGTTGCAGCCATCAAACTCAAAATTTGTTTATATTTACAAAATACAATTAAGTTGGTCAGTGAAAACAGTGAAAATTTGGTGTTTCACATCAGAACTGTTACCATATCATGTATGTTATGCCTGGAACAATGTATTGACCACTCAAATGACCTACACAATTATATTTGTTTCATTTTAATGTGTATGGCCATTATGAATACCATTGGTTTATGTCTATGAGGGACATTCTTCTAACTTCTTTCAGCAGACAACAGTCATTTCAGAAAGATGCCACATACAATATACAGTATAATCTATTGGGAAATATCTGCAACTAAAAGCTAATTCATCTGACAACTAAACTCAAAAGCAATGTTATGCATGTTTATGCATGTTTGGTTTCATCTAAATAGCTAATCTAAATCAAGTAATTTCCTATCCTTTTAACTAACTTCTGTTTTCTTCGTTGGTTCGTATGGATTTTCCCAACAGCTGAACCTAGACCATCATCACATCACCGCCTACAGTATGTGTGATTACTAAAAGCTATTTTTCATCTGCAGCTGCCAGGTCAGTTCTGCTATTATCTAAACTTCCATTAAAAACATTATTGTATTCTCCTTTACATGTCACTTACAGATACAAACCACATTGATTCGGTGTTTTAAAAACATTGCTTCAATAGTAAAAAGGGGGAAAAAAACACAATTGAAAGCAGTTCTCCTCATTATAACAGAGTGACTGGTGATGTCTGAGCATTTGTGTGTAACATGAGACAAACGCATTATACTTAAACTGAATTGAAATGAAATTGAATTGGCCCTGGGCATGTGTATAATCATCTTACAGGCTCAGGAGTTTTATGGCCGAGGAACAAAACCGTACTGTGCCTCGGTACACAGGTTTAAAGTGACAGTACACACACACACACACACACACACACCAAATCCCTCACAGACCTCAAGAGTCCCACAATCGGCAGCAGTGAATGTTTGCCGATAATATGCTAAAGTAACGGTTTTGAGAAGCGCCTGCTGCCGGCCCGCTACGGCCCCGGTTGGCGCGTGCTCAGAGGCGCCTGGGGTGCGCATAGAAAAATGGGTCAGGCCGATGCAGCAGCCTAAGCCTTCATCATGCGGAGCGGTTAGTGCCTGACATGGTGGTTCAAAGCCCCTCAGACTGCACTGCTGGCTACTCTAATTGGCTCTGCTGGAGTCAACAGACCCTCCGAGGAACAACGTCAGCCTATTTGTAGGGGTGTTGTAGCACTCGAAATCTAATAAACCTTCCACGGATGATTTCGTATATAAGCAAAACAGCTGGTATTAATCTGGTAGGCAATCTGTTTGCAGCTCAAAATCGCACTATAGATTAAATACCTAGGAGTAAAACTCGTAACGACCAGGTATGTGTGACATTCTTTGCACTGGAGTTGAGTCGATGTCATATCATCCCTCTAATTAGCTCTTCCAGCTCTGAAAAAAAACCCAGAATAAGCGAGCAGGAGGCAGAGAGAGGGAAGTTGTCGTTCTATACCTTCTGGCAGCTTGTTAATTAAATTTAAATCGTTGCCCATCCCTGCTTTTAAATCTAAGAGCACACGTGTCGCTTCGGCTCGGCCTAGTATTAGTCAGCATTTCGGATGAAACTGCGACAGCATAAATGATTCAAGTACAAATCAAACCTGTGCGTGTAAGCAAACACGAGTTAGAACAGCGCTAGATATCAAGCAACATCCGTTATAATGCAGATCTTCACAGCAAACTTTGATGAACAGCTTCAGGCACTGGAAAATGTCAATTATTCATCAAAACCTAATGTTAACTTAACATTAATGTGTAATTTTTAAATGATAACGTCATCTGGATCTGCTTCGTATTCATGACTACTCTGTGCTAAACTGTTTAAAATGCACATCATGGTGAGAAGACTTTCAACAGATGGCAGAGGGCCCTAATTGGGTATAATTTACTTTAACTACCAGCATTTCTGTCTATTTAAAAGTCAATTAACATTTTACTGTCATTAAAACTTCCATCAGTCTAAATATGTTTGACATACCCATCGAGTTAATATTGAGAGCGTAGAGAAGACTGTGAAACACTTCCACAGGTTAACATATAAAATGATCATGCTCATCTGATTATGAATGTACTTATCCACATATGACCAAGCAGAGATTCATCACCCCATGAGCATTATGTGTGATAAATCGTTTCTTAGATCCTAAATAGTGGGCATGCCATAAAACTCCATATGTGTCATCAAATGCATTTACCATAGTTTGTAATGTATTTGATGACAAGGATGTTACACTCTCTAAACAGGGATGATTTGTAGATTCAGTTCTTTAAAAGGCACTTGAGCATTTGCAGAGCCTGAGACTCAGGTAAAACGAAATCTGATGCTGTAAAATATGGTGTTTGTTGCCACCTGGTGGTGGAATTCATGCGATTCTGTTCTTTAAAAAAAAAGGAAAGTTTC